GGCGGCTGAGGCAGTGGCTCTCGGTTGGCGGCGTGGACGAGGCTGTCGAAACGGAGTCTCGTCGGTGCCTGAGTGGAAAGAAGACTCATCAATCTCCCAATGCTTCGTCCCCTTTACCTTTGGCCCAACATCGGTTTTGATGTTGTATTCTTCAAGAATTGCCATGACAAGGAGGGCATAGGGGAGCGGCCGATTGTCGGAGGTGGCCGTGAACATGTGAGTCATCACAAATTTACACCAATTGAGATTGGCGTTGTGAATCATCGCATGGATCGTCTTCGTGTCTTCTTGGGAGAGATTGGTGTGGTTGAACTTCCTGGGCTTGAGGATCCGTGTCAACACATAGAAGATGAAACGATACACGGGACTCATGAAGAAATCGTAGGGCGCCGCTGTTGGGGAGTGGGTACGAAGTGACGGATGCCCACTTCCTCCAAGAGAGCGGTCTCATTGAACCGCGCCCCCTCTTCTCCGGTGTAGAGCCCGAGATCCTGTCCGTCCCGACGAAGCCCGGTGAGGATTTGAATGTTCTCTTCATTCAAATAAATGTCCACCCCATTGACGTTTGAAAGCAACGATCCGTCCTCATCCTTTTTCAAGTTCGAATAGAAAGCTCGAACAAGAAAATGTTTATAATTAACCTTCTTGATGTAGAGGAGATCGAGGAAGTTTCCACGTTCAAGGATAACCCGTGCTTCACGTGGAATGGAGTCATGAATGAAACGGGCGGTGGAGAATCGGGGAGGGAGAATCTCCCGGTGCTCAAATTTCTCCGAGAACCGCGTTGCCTCTGCGTGGTCGTTGACCCAAAGGAACGACCCGTCAAGGTATTTGTGCGTTGATGGTGGAGGAGCCGAGGAAGAAGTCACGTTCTTGCCGGTGCGGGATCTTTTTCTTTGACCTCCTGCCATTTGATCAAGAGAAAGAAAAGAGAAGAAAGGCAAATTTGCAGAGAAAATGAAGGAAAATTGTAGGGATTGATGAAATATGAAGAAAATATTGAGAAGAGTTGATTGGAATGAGTAAAAATGGAATGGATATCACCAATTTATAAAGGAGAGGGTTGGAGATCCATTGGGGAGTTCAAAAGGTGATTTAAATGCATTTCCAACGTCTCTGTAACGGTCAGTTTTTTGAAAAATCGCCGTTGATAATCGATTAGCATAAGTTGTAAATCGATTATCAGATGCCTCAGATTCTCCGCTGATGGTCCTGCAGTCTTCAATAGTCGATTATCATGTTTTGGTAAATCGATTGTTGGAGTTTGCGCCTGAGTTGCCTTAAACTTCTGCAGGCTCAGATAATCGATTATCGTAATGTTGATGATCGATTGTTTACTCCGTCAGCTTCTGTGCTCTAAACTTCTGCAGGCTGTGATAGTCGATTATCACAAGCCTGTAAATCGATTTACACTTAGTCCTGGAACTAAAAATCGATTTCTTTTGTTCCCTCTGACTTTGACACCTACAATGAAAACATTTTGGTACCCGTTTGATCTTTTGGGTCCTTGAGGATTAGTAACACGACTTTTTAAACTAATAAACACACACACCCATAATCACATACACATGGTACGCAAACACACACACACACATGTACCAACATGCGTGTTTAAGTGTTACCTTGGCCAACTCGTCCTTTTGCGGTTGGCGGGTTCCAGTCTACTCGAACCGAATGTCTATACCTCGGTTTGATTTGTGTGGGTTCCGGAAGTGGTATGTGAATCTTCTTCTTTTCATCATAGTAGAAGAAGTAATATAGTTTCTTTTGCGTTGATTCCTGCAGGGATTGGTTAGAGTTCGAATATCCTTTTTGAAAGGATTTCATTCGGTTAGTTCCATGCAGAGTGTGTGTTTTGTTATACGTGTAATGCCTATGCCTACTAAAACACACGGGTGCTATATGACCTACCCTATTGCAATAATGACAAACAACATTTGGATTATGCATTCTCCTAGGTTGATAGTAGTTGCTAGATTTTCTAACTTGATCATTGTTCATCCTAGTGTTCTTTCTAGGTAGTCTAGTGTTCCTAATTGTTCTAGGTTGTCTATTTTCTTGATTTTCATTATTCCTAAGTTGAGCTTTAGGTTTCCTAGATGGTTGCTCAACTTTTTCCTTATTATTAGGTTCATTTTCAAATCCTAAGCCATGTTTAGTAAGTTGCAAATTATCAAGAACATCATTAAGGTTTTTATGAGAAACACCAAACTTCTTCAAAGTTCCTTCAAGTTTTGCAACTTGATCCTTAAGTGATATACAAGAACTACATTTTGAACTTTCCGGTTTGTCGGCGCTTCTTTTTCCGAAAAACTTATTTTCTTCTTT